CTAGAGGCCTTAATCAATGCTGAATTAGTTCATCATCTCTCACCACAGCACCTTTTCTCAGACAAGCAATACGCTTTTCGTTTTTCCAGGTCCTCTGCTGATGCACTAACTATAATTACGGAGAGTATATCATGCTCTCGATAAAAACAGTGATGCACGGGCTGTAGCATTTGACATCTCGAAACCTTTGACAGGGTCTGGCGTTCAGGTATTCGCCGCAAGCTGAAAAGTTATGGTATCACCGGGCTCCTTTCTGAGCTGATTCACTCGTTCCTATCAAATCGTGAAATGAAAGTTATCCTGAATGGCCACTCATCTAGATCCTTTCGTACTATCGCGAGTGTGCCCCAGGGCTCCATCCTTGTTCCTGCGCTGCTTTTAATCTTCATTAATGACCTTCACAGTGACAGCGGCTCTGAACTTGGCATCTACACTGAAGACACTGCCATTTATCCCTGCCTCGATACTAAGGCTGATCACTTCGACAAGGTCAAAATGGGAGCCGGTGTACAAAATGACTTCAAGACTGTCGTTAACTGGTACAAAAGATGGCTTAATTTTAACGCCTCCAAAACTAAACTTCTTTCTGTTAATCATCTGAGAGATTCCTCTCTGCCTTCCACCATTATGGTTGATGCTATCCTTCAGTAAATTGACTCATTGCGCCTTCCCAGGCTTACGATCTCAGCTGAAATGGAAAGACTTATATCGAATCCATTGCTCGGATAGCCGCTAAGAATGCCGATTCACTGCGCCGGGCGAGACAATCTTTCTCTTCAGAATCTATCTTGCATATCTATAAGTCTAACATTTGCCCATGCTTAGAATATTGTTGCCATATATGCTCCGGTGCTCCTGCTATTTACCTTGAGCTCATTGATAAGATAGAAAGAATAAGCAATATTATTGATCCTGATCTGACAGTTCAGCTTCAGTCAGTTCTCCACCGTCTTAAGGTTGCCTCTCTGTGCGTTTTTTATAAATACTTTCGTGGTAATTGTTTAGGTAATCTCTTCGCTATGGTACCTTGACTGTATAAATTAAATTGGAATACTAGACTGGCGCCGAGATTTCATCAACTTACAGTTGAGCTAGCTAGATGTAACTGTATCTTCTATGCTGATAGTTTATTTTCTCGCACTTCTCCTCTGTGAAACTCGTTTCCGGGACCATGCTTTCCAGCCAACTTTGATCTGCAAAAGTTTAAATTCAATGTCAATCGCTATCTACTGTCCTCCTGATTGCACTTTTCTCTTTCGACTCATTAGTAAAATTTCTGTTCCTAATTCCTCCACACCCAGTAACCCCTTGCGTGTTGGTGGCTGTACCGTCTTACTTGAGGCGATACCGTTAAAAAAAAAAAAAACAAATTCAAAATCAATATACATTAACAGGAACAGAAATTTAACAGGGTAATTTGCGCTAAACAATTCATTACATGCAAAAAATAAAAAATATATATTAAAAAAATGACCAGGTAATTTTTAATGTAGCTTCATGAACATTGATTGACTATTTGAAAAATATAAATTTTTAATATTAACGTGTTGTATTCTCGAGGTGAATGATACACGGAAAAGAATGAGTGCTTAATATATTTTCCAGCACAAGTATCCAGTGTCAACAGATACATACAAAAAATAAGTTACAAAATAATTAACAAGACAACTTACAAGGAATAAAGGAGAGTCAAATGCTGTATAGCCAAACGAAGTAAGATCAATCCGAATATTAATCAGCTTTGTATCAACTTATTAATCAACTGTTGAAGACCTTAATCTAAGCCGTATTTAAGGCTATGAGCCAGTCCATGTGGTATAGTGCTGATGGGATGCTAGCTACTCTGCAACATATCGTAATGAGAATAGTTCAAGAGAATTGTTTTAATATTTTACCAATAAAATTGTAGGATAATTTCAAAACTTTTTAATGCTGATTCTTGAGTTGCTTTAAGACAATCAAACAAATAATATATTTAAAAATATATTTGACAATATAAACACTTGTTTGTTTTTTTCACATTTTGAAATAATGCATTTCCTAAAATAACGTCAATCCTATTCTCAGGATCTTTCAGTAGAACGACATTTCTGTTGCGTCAAGTCTCTACTTCATCTGTAAGGAGATAATCCAGAATCCACTGCCATATAGGGGACAGATACTACATAACAGTTCAGTACTCTTTTATTTGTTTATATTTTCCTATTATATACGTCGAAAAATCTCTACGGGTTTTAATTTATTAACACCAAATATTATAAAACAAAAAAGATCCTCTAAAATGTGGACTCTGTTAGAATTGTTAAGTTACCACAATGTATTTCTTAAAAAATGTCCCTATTCTTGAAAAAAAAAGTTGTAATAATATTAAATATTTCTTATTTTCTAGGACAATACTTTCTTGTAACATTACCCGCTATATACAAAAATGACATTTTTAATATCTTTAGAAATCCTAGTGTCAATATCTGGTAAGTTATCAGATGTTTCACATGACATTTCATTTTGAAAATTTTTAGTAAACAATAGCATGGATCAAAGATATTCTTTAATATCAACATTTCACTGAAGAAGTTTTTTTTATTATGAAATCTTTCAATAATGCACTGTTAAAAATATGCATCGCTTAATTTATTTTTAGATATTCATGATCTGAAATTCTTAATAATAATATGAAAAACAATTTTCAAAAGAAGGATTATTCCTGATCAAAGTTCATATTCTACAACCACACCGAAAAAAGTTACATATTTTATCTATTCATAATGAACGGCGAAATACATTTACAACATAGTGAAAAAATAAATCATTAAAAGTTTATAAAAAGTTATTTATGAAAATAAATTTTATTATCAATATATCCATTGTTATAGAGAAAATCATTAATAATGGCGTTTTTTGTAAGTGTCACTCATATTTTTGAAATGTATTTTAAGAACAGTTATTTAATATTAAATTTACTGAATTTAATTATGACAACGACTTTGATGATAAATTTCTCAAATAACATTTTTCATTAACATAAGGAAGTTATGTTTATGTCTTGTATTTAATAAGGATGATAGAATTTAAATTCAACATAGATTTTCAAAATACCTATTAGAAGGAAAAAGAAAAATTATTCTTAACGAAATTTTATAACCAATATGTTCATTGTTATGAATAACAATATCACATTGGAAACATTAACATTGCGATAAAATTATTAATAACAATTTGTTCTCAATTTCTTATCAAAAGATTTTTTTTCCAATGACGTTAAAATATTACAAGTTCAAACAAAATAAAATGAAGTTTATACTTACTAAAGTGTATTAAATCATAAACTTTAGTTAAACCAAGAGTAAAAAAAAAAAAAAAAATGAAAGACTAAATTGTAATTAAAGTTTCTATATATTTTCCCCGAGTCAAGGACTCCAGTCGCATGACTGACAGGTCTGTTATACATATCGCCTTGACGCAAAATCAATAGATGAAGAACTTTTAAAATATTAGGTTGAGTCATAAATAATTTCCATTCATATTTAACGACATTATTCTTCAAAGTACAAATATATTTTATTCAATTATATGTTAAAATATATTTTACCATTATTTGCAATGGCTTCTTGTCACCTATCTTCGATAACTGTTGAGTAAGATTCTGCAAGTTTTGTTATGAAAAAACTTTCCGTGAACACTTGAATTTGTTTTTCATCAGAGAAAGTTCCTCCCCCTTACCCACCTCAAATCAATTTGCAGCGATTAAAAAAGTAACACTCGGTTAGTGCAAAGTCGGGTGAATATGGCAAGTGCGGCAGAACAGACCGACCGAGATCCATTTTTTTCCTTTTCTTATTCTTGCTATATGTTGTCTTGCGTCTTCATAGAAGCAACTAACAGGTTTTTTTTTCCTATTGACTAGCATAAGGCTGTATTCCTTCAAACTTTTACAAACATGTTCCAGCTGGTGGACGTCGTAATGTGGATTTAATGCTACATCGCACTTTAAGAACTACATGAATCAACAGAAATGTGGTTCTACAGGAGGATGCTGAGGATACCGTTGACCGAACATGTGACCAGCGACGAAATTTTAGAGAAAATTAAAAACAAAAATGAAACATACATACCATCAGGAAGAGGGAGTTGAAATATCTGGGGTACGTAATGAGGAAGGAGGGCTTGGAAATTCTGATACTCACATGGCAGATTGCAGACATGAGAGATAGAGGAAAACAGTGCGTGAAATACTTAGGGGGCATGATTAAATGCATGGCGGAATAGGTTTTAGGAGAAATATCAGAAAGATAAATTTTATTAAGAGCGACAAGGGATAGGAGAGCCATGAACACCTACGTCCCGAAGGGACTTGCACATAGAGAAGAAGAAAGGATAATAACCCTAACAATCCGACAACACCTTGTTTTTAATGTCTAATGAGGCTAGGGTGGTGTGAATTGGTTTATTAGACTGTAATATGTCGACTAATTCCCTCGTAGAATTACTGCTATACTTACTAGGTAAGGATGGAAGTTCCACGTGGTTTAGAGGTTTTGATAATTGATATAGGGGAGTCAGAATTTGTCAGGTTATAGGACGTTGTCGAGAGTTAAGCTTGTGCGTATTTACTTACCCACAGATGTATGGAGTTTGGGGGATCCGATCTCCGCGTTGTTAGCCATGACAGCAGCGAAGACTATATCAAAATTCAAGCTTTTCAAAGAATACCAAAATGTAGACAAATGAATTCAAAGAACGATATTGGAAAATATAAAAAATGTATAGCAAATTGGAAAAAGTTTTCTTGTAACGAGTTTTGTCCTTTAGAACTTCAGCAGAATAAATTTATTATGTTGGTGCGACAACATATGTTCACGAATGAGGCATACTGGGAATTTTTAATTGATATATATATATATAAAGAGAGAACAAAAGACACTCATTGTGTTACTGGCCCTAAGAACCTGCTGATATTTATATTTTTTAATGGACTGTGATTGGACGGTTCAAAGTTGAACCGCCCCCTTTTGAGGGGGAGGGGAGAACTGGGACTGGACCTTAGCAGCAGTTGGAAAAGAGACCGCTGAGAGAAGAGGTTCATTTTCACTCTCCCTGCTGAAAAGACAGGCAGCGTTCGCCCATAAGTGAAGGATGCATGGATAATAAATTTGTTGCGGGCAAGTTTCCCCTTCAGAGAAAGTTTTGAGAAGTCCTCTCGAAGAAGCCCCAGAAAAGAAAATTGAAAAGAAGTTCATAAGTGGAATTTGGAGCTAAAGCCGTTTGAGATTAAGGAGCAAACACGTGCGTTTTCAAAAAGCGTTTTACCACTTGTTTAAGTAAATTTTCACCTTCTAGCGGCCGTAAAAGAAAGACGTAATTTCCCGGTGGACAGGAGGAAAATAAGTGAAGAAAGAAGGGAGTTTGGTCACCAAGAAGAGAACCTTGTCTACACAAGAGAGAAAAGAAAATAGATAAAAAACTTTTGAACCTTGAAAGGACTGAAAGTGTACTGTAGAGCTATGGCTCTTCCCCCTTTTTTTATTGTTATCATTGACACAGTAGGTGGGCTCAATTCTTTTTTTCTTTTGCGGGTGGTTGTGCTTTGTAATCTTTAAGTTTGTTTTCTGCTATGCTTTTTTTACATTGTGTTACTCAGAGAATAGGTTATTTTATTCTCAGCAAAAAGGGATGAATTTTTGAAAGAACCGTTATTTAGCTTAAGATTTTTTCCCTTTTTTTCTTTGTCCACCTGTGGACTGACCACAATTTTTGATATTAAAAAGCTACTTTGATCAAAGGAGAAAACTACGAAGAAAATGTTTCGAAATTGCCTAAAAACAAAAAATAAGTAAAAATTTAAAAATTCAAAATTCCCAGCATCCCTCGTTCGTGCGCATGTCTACTCGCAGCAACATAACAGATTTAGTCCGATTAAGTCGTAAAGGACGAAACGCGTCACAAGTAATCTTTCTCTACTTTGTCATACACACAGACCCCATATATATATATATATATATATATATATATATATATATATATATATAGATAGATAGATAGATAGATATAATAAAAAGGCTTAAACACTAATATTCCATGGTCATAATTTATTCCATTGGAATCGTAAATACGATCCAATTCATCAGACCTACAAATTCAAAAAGAAAAAGGAAAAAACAACTCCGAAAATGAAAACAGAATTTAGAGAGAGTGTAAGTATGAGGGTGTGTTTTTGAACATAGAAATATAGGTCCTTGCTGAATTAGATAATCGTTATATTTATTTTTTATGTTTATATTTGATGTGTATCCTGTAGTCGATATTAAATTTGTCAAATTTCCTCAATTACAAAGCGGCCCTTTAAGTAAACGCAAATTTACTTTCCGTCGCCCCATCTCTCTCCCCCTACTCGTCTTTCCCTCCCTCCTATTCTAACATTAGATTGTCTATCGTGTGTATATGTCACCACGAAATGTGTCTTTATACATTAGACATCCGACAACATTCATTTTTCTCTTATTTAAACCCCTTCCACCCACCTCTCTTAAAATTCTCTCTGTTAAGGTTTGATCTCCCTCCTCCTCATGCTTACACTCTCTCTAAATTCTATTTCCGGAGTTGTTTTTTCTGTTTTCTTTTTGAATTTGTAGGTCTGATGAATTGGATCGTATTTACGATTCCAATGGAATAAATTATGACCATGGAATATTAGTGTTTAAGCCTTTTTATATATATATATATATATATATATATATATATATATATATATATATATATATATATATATATATTATGACCATGGAATATTAGTGTTTAAGCCTTTTTATTATATCCTTACTCTGTCCTGGACATTGAGTTCTACCTGGATTCTTCCTCTTGAAATTTTTATTCAAAAAATATACATTTATGGGTATTTATATATTTTGCATATGCATGTATATTTACCACTAATATTAGCTAGCTAGCTAGTTATCAATCTATCTATCTATCTATATATATATATATATATATAGAGAGAGAGAGAGAGAGAGAGAGAGAGAGAAAGAAATGTTTTGGGAGAATAAAGAAAAACTCTGAAACAGCAGTAATACAGCTTAGGGCTTTTAAGCGTAATAAATGAACGTTATGTAAAAATGTATGAAAAAAAGGATCCCAGGAACAAATTAAAGAATTGATAAATCATGATTGATTCCTGAATTGTGTATATTTCTACGAAATCTACAGCTGCATGTTTTCAACAAGATTAAATAATTACTCGTATTGCTTTTTACATTAAACATTTTCGCTATTATTATTTTATTACTAATTTTACTCCATCTTATTATATATATATATATATATATATATATATATATATATATATAGGATCTCGAACTAATTCCAAGTCGGTTGGGTTTCGATCCCGTCTTTGAATCAATCAGATGTCTACTCACACTGATGAGCTGTGATACAGCGAAATACACTTGCATGTGGATAACTATATATATATATATATACCCCTGGTCAAAATCTTAAGACCAGATACAAAAGGGTTAAAAAAATATATATAAAATACTATTACTTTAATCAAAATATATTTGCGAAACATTTACATTTATTTAGAAAATGTAGTTTATCAACAAAGAGTGAAAACGTTAAGATTTTAATTGATTAATATAAACAAATATTGAAACAAGAATTGTATATATATATATATATATATATATATATATATATATATATATGTGTGTGTGTGTGTGTGTGTGTGTGTTTTTATTACTTAAACATCATTTTTGGTGGAAACTTGTATTTGAGTAGACACTCCGTTTATTCATTAAACTCCATGCAGTTTAATAAATAAACGATTCGTTAACTCAAATACGTGTTCCCACTAAAAATAACATTAATTAATAAAAATCTATAATTAATAAACAAAAAAATCTATCCCTTTTCTTTACACACACACGCGCGTGTGTGTGTGTGTGTGTGTGTGTGTGTGTGTGTGTTAATATGTATAATATTAGGATTTTGTATGGTCTTGTAACTTAGCCAACTAGTACAGCATAACGTCGTTGGTAATTACTCATATCCATAGTTATTATACCAAAGAACCAAAGAACTACAATTTAGTATCAATGTTACAAGATTTTGTAAAAGTATGTGAAAATGCATTTATGCATTTCTTTTATTTATCCCCCCCCCCAGAAAAGAATTACTTGTGTATAATGCAAACAGTCACTTAAGAAGTTTTTTTAAACTCTTGGAAAAAATAACCGCCTATTTTTTTCGTAAAAAAAACCTGATCATAAAACTCAAGTATATACGGTGTTCATAACGTATTCAATTCCTTTCATATGTTAAATTGGTAAATTCCCCCTTTTTGGTAACATATGCCGGGTACCAAATATCAGTTTTCGACATAACTTTCCTTTTATTTATCAGAAAATCAGGATCTGGACCTCTATTCTTATCTTTTATTTTTTATTTATTTATTTTGTGCTGAATACAATTTGAACACTGAAAAAAAAAGGTCACCCTAGCAAAGAATCTAAATGGAATACCAAATTTAAGTCCTTTTCATGAATTTTCTCTCTTCTCTGCAGACCTGATTCTCTCGATCTAAAATTAGATATTTGAAATGTTTGGTTATATCCTTGCTCTTGAGTACGAAATAAAATTAATAAATTTCTATAGTTCAGCTGAAAACACGCAGGGACTCAAGAACAATAGACGTTCGCTTGGCTCGGATGTGTGATATAGTCAAAATTCATATATTTCCGTAAATGTCATTACTTACATTTGAAGTAGAAAATAAATAAAAAAAAAAAAAAAGTTGAAGCGAATTGGGTTAGAGTTGCTGCCAGGTAATTTCAAATATCGAAGAATCTTTTCATTTCTAGCATTTACACTTCCTTTGGGGATAATGGAGTTGCTCTGAACATATTTTTATAGACGTTTTGGCATTTTTGAGTTGCACCATCACGTATTTATCTGTTTCTAGCAGAGGCAAACACGAAGATTTTAGAATTTGCTCAAAACAACGAAACTATTTACATCCGTTGTGATTTGTTATCTCTTACGTCGGCGAAAATATAACATTATTTTCGATTTTATCTCTGGCAGATTCTTCTGAAAATGCACCTTTCTTTATATATATATATATATATATATATATATATATATAGGGAGAGAGAGAGTGTGTGTGTGAGATAGATAGATAGATAGATAGATAGATAGATAGATACAGTGTAACCCGGATATAAGAGACCCGGATATAAGAGAAACCCAGATATAAGAGAGATTTTCTCTGGTCCCAAAGCGTTCCCATACTTACCTAAACAAAATAGACCAAACCCGGATATAAGAGAAACCTGGATATAAGAGACTTCTTCTCCGGTCCCAACAACTCTCTTATATCCGGGTTACACTGTATATAGATTGATAGATATATACATGATGATTATCTTTTTATGCTACTTTTTTTATATACTTTAACTGTAAGCATTGTGTAATTTAAAGACTATACACTGAATATCATTCATAGGCAGTATCATAGATAGATAGATAGATGTGAACAGATTAGGACATTTAGATATGAACAGATTAAGATAGATAGATAGATAGATGTAAACAGATTAGGACATTTAGATATGAACAGATTAAGATAGATATATAGATAGATATGAGCAGATGAGGATAGATAGAAAAGACAATGACAGAAAATTAATAGATCGATAGATAGATAATGAGAGAGAGACCTGATATAGATAGATACGTAGATAGATACATTGATAGAGAGTGAGAGTAATTGATAATGAACAGATAGATAGATAGATAGAAGCAGACTGATAGATATATTCGCAAATATGAACAGATTTGATTTGTTTGTTTAACGACATTTCATCTCCTTATGGGTCATTTCATGTGGAAACTTAATTTCCATGTGAGCTTTTAAGTAATATAAAAATGATCGATGTTATTCTGCATTCGTAATTGAATACATGGTAGATGATACTCCGATTTTTCTACATATACATGTTTGTGCGGACATAAATTGTTGAGGCATCATTGTGGTTTCTTATGTTGCAATTTTTATTGAAATTATCTGGCTTTAATATTTTATTGTTGATAATTTTTTAATAGAAAAATATATCCCTGGTATTTTATACTTTTATAATGTTTTCTTTTTTGTGTTTTGGGGTTCACCATTTGACCATAGCTGAGACCCTAACAGGTGCTACCACCCAAGGTTAGGGTGGACCTTGCAACAACATCAACTAAGAGGTTGTTCCACGCTCTTCAAAACCTTCAATCTTCCGATCAGAGGTCTTGTTGCCGGATGTAGTTTATCGTCATACCCAGTATTAGATAAATACGAACAGTCTCATTTAGATAGATAGATAGATAGATAGATAGATAGATAGATAGATAGATAGATAGATATAAACAGACACAGATATAGATAGATAGATAGATAGATAGATAGATAGATAGATATGAACATCATGAACTCAGATAGATGTGAAAAGACTGTGATAGACACACACATAGATAGATAGATAGATAGATAGATAGATAGATAGATAGATAGATAGATAGATTTAAATTGCGCACACGGTCTCTGATTTAATACTTACGCGTAAGCATCCCGCCCTTTGTGGACATGACAATAGAATTTTCTTTTTACATTCATCAGCCTTTATGAATCGAACTAATCCATATAAATACATAGAGTCAAAACAATCGCCCCATCGATCAATAATCTGGAGAATTACACTTACATTGCTTTTCTGAGATTTGCTTCGATTTTTTTCAAGTATTCCTTCGTGTCATTGTGCCTGGTTTTATTCTCCCTAAATCGCTGAACTCCGTTTACAATATGGATATTGTTACACTTTATTTGTTTCCCTGTTAAAGGAATTCTTCCTTTTCCCGATACTTCGTTCAACATGAAAATGCCGGTTTATAAAGTAAATTTAGTTTATAAAGTAAAAATAATGATTAGTTTTTTTTTAGAAATTAACTTTATTAAACACCGGACTTACAATTTTATTCACTGACTTCCATCATCATGATTATCATCATGGAAAGTGCTTGAAAGAACTACGTTTTTTGGTTCTGCCAGTCTTAACCTTCACGGCTAGGGCCCTACATTCCACTTACATTGTAGTAAATCACCTACGTATTTTGCTCTCTAGAGCAGTTTGTAACACATTATCATATCTCAGTTGAATCTCTGTCTTCGGGCAGGAAGCGCTCACTGGCGGCTCCGTCAAAAGACAGAGTGGCAAATGAGGAAAATTATACTGAGAGATGCCCAGCCCTGGGGCACAACTGCCCGAGGCCGCGCCCTCTCATTGCACCAGAGAGAGGGATCGGTGCTCACACCGAGACCAGCGCAACCAACGGTTGCCGAGCTGCGGACAATTTTGGTTCCTAGACCCTAAGCGCTCGCCCCACATAAAACTGACCTTGTGTCACAACCTGACTTCGTGGCGGTTGAGTAAATACAAATTTCATCGGCGTGATGTAAGTTCCAGATACCCAAGTGGATGTTTCCACGAAAACTACACGTGTTCACGTCTAGAGTTAACCGTTATCTTCATCTTCTACCTGTATAAACATTCTCTTAACGAAACTTTATACCTCACGTGGCCCACGGTCTATGTACAGGTGGAACCCTTGCGTAAAAAAAAAAAATCAACCCCCATAATCTGATCAGCTATTCCCATATATCTCGTTTACATGCTAGTCTCTGACGCTGTGAAATATCTTTCAGCGGACTCAGTGACTTTCCCTCTGCCTGTCTCTTCTTTTTGCCTCGGGTGGGTACCTTTAGCACATGGCAGCGGAAAAGCTTGTCGGCTTTTGTGATGTAGCCATAACATTTCAACATTCTATTCGTGATAGGTGTCATGACTTCCAAATGACCCATGTCTTGTCTGATGCCTCCCCGTCACCAGATTTCAGATCAAGCCACAGCTGATGTCCTCCGACTTTAAGCTACGCCATGGTTACGAGAACGTGGTCGTTGATTCCATCGGGGCAGACCTTCTGCTCTGGCCGTTTGGAAATCCCTCCGCCCAACAACGCCGCGTAATCACGCACTTCCCACTTATATAGCCTATTCCATTGTGCGAGATGTCCGTTGGTCCAATATCATCTTTCTGATAGGTTTTGCTTTAATCGTCTTGTGTGTTTAGCCTTTTTCCTCACCAGAAAAAAAAACTGGAAGAGGAACCAATTTTAGTCAATTTTGCTGCCACGATTCTGCGGGAATTAATATTGCTTCGCGTAGAGTGACCTGAAATAATTCTTGGATACAATACCTAACTCCGTGCACAAACATCCAAATCAAGCCCTGACCATGCATGTTTCACCAAACAAAAGTATGATCCAACGATATCACGGAAGAATATTTTATCTTTGGTTTCCCCAAATTATGGACCAGTTTTTTTTTATAGATTACTTTGTTTATTATGGAATTAATCAATACTTTTTACGAAAGGATTTCACAGTTGAGATCCCTATCATAAAACAATAACAACATGTACCCTTAATCCACCAAAAATATCCTGAATGTGAATTTAATAAACAGTATTTTTTTTAATCATTTTACACCAAGCAATTCGGGAATGTTACTAGTACGCAGGGGGTTACAGGGAATGAAAGTGAGAGAAAAGGATGAGTATATGGACGATTGAAGAATGTATAAAAGATGAACGGGGTTCAAGAAGACAGAAGATGGCGATTGTAGTTGCATTTAAATTTTTGAAGATTGTAGTTATAAGAAAGTAAACGGAAGGGGGGGGGTTCCACAGGCAGAAAATGTGAGAAAAGAAACTGTTGGAGTAGAAGTGGCAGTTCCACTTAACTATTTCCAACATTAAAAGCGTGGGACCTAAATGTCAATCTAGTAGCATGATTAAATTCATGCAGACGGGGCACCAGGGGAAAAAATCTTGTCAGAGTAGTTGCCATGAAAATATTCGAAGAAAAGACAGCGGGAAGCCACGTCACGACAATTAGAAAGAGACTGAAGTCTAGATGCCAAGTCATAATCGATTATATTACAGACCCTTCCTTCTATTTTGTCAAGAATCTCGCCATGAATAAAAGCATTCAATGCACAGATGAATGGTTGATTTGTAAATGTACTAGATGGACTCTAACGAGAATTTTTTTTTTTTTGGCACGACACAGTGACCAGCTTTCCTTGCAGTAGATGCAGCAATTGATTCGATGTAGTCGCTCCACATCAAGTCAGTTGAAAACGTGATGCCATGAAAATATTTGAAGAAATGACAGCGGGAAGCCACGTCACGTCATTTAGAAAGAGACTGAAGTCTAAATGCCAAGTCATGATCGATTATATTACAGATCCTTCCTTCTATTTTGTCAAGAATCTCGACTTGAATAACAGGAGCAGCGGACCAAATATGGCAGCATTATTCAATGCACAGATGAATGGTACATTTTTAAATATGCAAGATGGACTATGACGAGAAATATTTTCTGGCACGACACAGTGACCAATTTTCCTTGCAGTAGATGCAGCTATTGATTCAATGTAGTCGCGCCACTTCAAGTCAGTTGAAAACGTGATATAAACGAGGCGCATTGTGTTGCTCTCCTGATGTCTACCGTCAGCCATGCTGATGGCAGACAGAAAAGTTTCTCTATGGTGGTTATATGAGAGCAGTTTTGTGTTGGAGGCGTTAAAATTTACAAGTCATTTCTTGCCCCAGTTAACCACTGATTGGAGGTCCTTTTCAATAACAGCAGTTAGGATTTACTTTGTCAGCTGTGACGGAAATACCTCGGTAATGTATTAGTTATAACAAATTCAGTATAAAAGAAAAGCAAATTGAATACTTGTGCCTGCGAAAGGAATAGTTTCTCACAATACAGTAAGAGGCTGCAAAACCAAAAGATTAAATTGAAAACTGGAATCACGTTCTTAGATAGCATCGTCAGGTGGAGACTTTCATGTAGATGTCACGTATGACGTCAGACTAGTACAGGAATATCTTAATCGTCAGATGAATATAACCGCTTTCTCAGATCAATGGTTAAAATACCTTTGAGTGAATGAAGCCTGTAGGTGTTGGCAAGGACCATCCTTCCTCAAACCTCGTGGTCTAGCGCTACAGAATCACGGACAAAGAACTGTACCAAATAACAGGAACCACAAGACTTGCAGACTTTCATCAAGAGAAACAATTAAAATAGCCCATGTAACTCGGAAAGAAAATAATCACATAAACAGGATGCTAACGTTCCACTCTACTTCAAACAAAAGGCTAGGAAAGAAACCGCCATCAACACTGAAAAGAGTGATACAAGTTAGTGGACTTAGAGAAACCTGTTTTCCTGAAAAAATTGCTTTAATAGAAATAATTTACAAATTTCAAACTGCAATAGTTCTGGCTTGTTAGTCAATGAATTCCGAATGTTACTTTATAAGGAGACGGCTAATATTACCATTACCAAAGAAATCGTCAAAAGGCATAAAAGGTACTACCATAGTATGATATCTACTGAGACATTTGCGACCTGCCGTAAATGACAATGCACTCTGCCAAACAACCCACTTACGGCCTACATGTATAATTCCTCAAACGACATACAGTGCTAATTGAAACTAAAGAGTTGAGAATGTATCTAATTCGTATTCATAAAGGAGGTATTTATGTAATTCCGTTACAAAATAAAAAATATATATATACTAACGTCAGACAAAATAATTCTAGTCAATTTAGTTGAATACACTAGCTTCATGCTGGCCAGAAACTTTTACAAAATAATTTCAATTGAAGATGAAACGGTGTCCTTTTTAAGAGTTAGGGTTAGGGATAGGGTCAGGACTAATAAAATATTTCATAGTTCCAACAGTTGCTAAATATCATACTATAGCAGGAAATGAATAGTAGATATCATAGTATAGTAGGAAATAAATAGTAGATAGCATAGTATAGTAGAAAATGGACAGTAGATACAATACTATAGTAGGAAATGTATAGTAGATATCATAGTATAGTAGAAAATGGACAGTAAATATCATACTATAGTAGGAAATGAATAGTACATAGCATATAGACATATTATAGTAGGTAATGAATAGTAGATATAGTATAGAATAAAATAGACAGTAGATATAGTATAGTAGGAAATGAATAGTAGATATCATAGTATAGTAGGTAATGAATAGTAGATA